TGCAATATGCATTAACATTCCGCTTAATCTCCACTAAATATCTACTTAAAGCAACTTGTATAATAAAAGTACTAAATTATTTTCCAATAAACATGGTTGAAATAACGTACAAAGTTTTAAAATGATAAATAACAATCATAGTTAATTTCTAAAACATAGAAACTGTTATCATTGCTTCTTGCCAAACAAAAAACAATTGATGCGTACGCAATTTGCAATTATATTTCTTTTCGTCTCCACTTAATTTAATACCTACTTAAAGCAATATCTATATGTCTACTAAAAGTACTATATTATTTTATAATAAACATGGTTGAAATAAAATACAAAGTTATAAAATGAGTAATAACATTAATAGTCCATTTCTGGAGTGTGATAACAATTGTTATAGCTGATTTTGAGCCCTACCATGCTCACACTCTTCATTTCAAGAGTTGAAGTAGTCATACCTGAGAACTGTGAAATCGGACTTTTTGCAGACGACATTGTTCTCTGGAGTTCCGGCTTTGATATTGAAAAGGTTGAGGAGAGAGTGAATCTGGCTCTGGCAGACATGTGGTGCTTTGCTGTTAACCACAAACTGTGTTTTAACCCTTCAAAGTCTACCGTTAGTTTCTTCACAACTAATAGAAAATTATATAATTTTCGACCAGGACAACTGGAAACACTATTCTATCTATTGTCTGAAAGTGTGATAAAATATCTTTCTCCTACTCAAAAATAAAAATTATATTCCTATACAACCTATTGTGAGGGCTGAAAAAAAATGGAACACTTGAATACTTTGAACCTGATAATTGTATTTTCCGATATAAACATGCAACGTCATGGTTCAAGATGTAGATCTTGCTTATGCTCATTAAATTAATTTAAGCAGGTGTCAGATGATGTCTTACACTGCAAAGGCAAAAATAAAAACACACTTTCACTAAATTAGCACACCTTTTCTTGACTGATTAGAATTTTCTACCCAAAAATATGGAATCTTCTCATTCTAGAAAATATGTTCTATAAGTCTGTATTTACGAAACAAGTTGTAAAGTTTCGAACAAATAAAATATAAAAAAATTTTGCGTGTTTACATTTTTACTTCTCAGAGATTATACAACTGATTCCATTGAATTTTTGAATATGTCATTATCATTAACAATTACATTGTTTTAAAGGATGGAAAGTTTTGTAAATCTTCAAATTGTTAAACTGTATATAGAAAATTGAAAAAAAAATTTTTTTTTCCTTTTCTGCATAGAATTATCTTTTGATAAAATAAATGTATACTTCTTTTCTTCTCTCAATTCGCTTTAGTTTAGTACTAATATAACGAAATATACAGAAAGTAAAATAATACGATAAAGGAATAAAAACAGGAGTTCTAAATAGAGTTCTGTATTTGTAAATCTCTTTAGATATCAGAAAATTGTACATGCTTACAATATATTATGCATTCTACAAATTAATTTTATAATGTATTATTTGAACCATAT